CGATTCCGTTGGCCCTACATAATCAACCACGTGTTGCACCCGTAAGTGTTTATTCTTTCAAGACTTTTTTCGTCTGTCTATAATGCCGGTTACGAGTTTTTTTGTGTTTCTTCATGGAAATTGGTTTGGATCTTTCGTTCTTCTCCTTTTTCTCCTTGCATTCTAAATCTTAGCGCACCTAACGAATTTGATCCATGTGACTGTGAGGGGGCTTCCGCAAAATGATTGAATTCGTTGAATTTCTATTTAGTATTGTTTTCACGGTGGGGAAATAGTTTCTAATCTCTTAGCTGCGGGATGATAATTGCGGCACGCTTTTACAGTTTTACTTGATTCTCTTGCTGAGTATGGTGAGAAGGTTGACATTGCCGATAAATGTCTCGATCATGTTGGTACAATTGGTGTCCCTTGCATTTTTAATTGTGTGGACATTAGTATTACCAAACTTCCATATCAAGTTGCTGGGTTATTTTGTCTCAGAAGTGGCTTCTCCACAAGTTTATGTCTAATTGATGCTAATGGAGTTTTAGATACTTGTATATCTTCATTCTCGTTGCGTAAGAATAGGTTCAGTTGTGGGAAGGAAGCAGCTTTCATATCACAGTTTATACCTGTACTGTTGCTATTTTAATACTTTGAACTTGTTACGTTGGAGGAATATACTTCTACTTCATTGGATCAAAAATGAAATTTCCCGGCCTTGATATTGTCCAGTCATTATTGAATCAGTTAACCTCTCAATTTCCAAAAATTTAATTTAACTTCTCATGCATTTTCCAGGTTCCATTCACATTGGGTCCATTTAATTGCATGGTCCTCTTTTAATATGTTACCTACAGTTATGAGTACATTTTGATTCTATTCTGCATGAACAGGTGTGAAATGGGTAATCAACGCCGACAAGGACAAAAAGATTAAGTTCTGTTGCGTTCAATCCAAGGCTGCAGAGCCCTATTTGACAGCATGTGGTCTTGAGAAAAAGGATGTTCTTCGTCGCCTTTTATTTGTTGAAGGCCTGGGTTCATACAGTCAAGGATCTACTGGTTAGGACCTTTTCACCTATTAAATTCAATTGTGCCCAATCAGTCTTTTTGGCTTTCTGAGACAAATATACTGCATGCTCTTGAATTTGATCAGATCTTAGGACCTTAAAAACCAATTTAAAATTGACATTGGGTGTTGACTGTTTAACATTCTGCATCTGCATACAGATTCAATCTTGCATTAACAGGTTTCCAACGCTGAAGTGACCAAGTCAGAATTTTTTCAAAGAAGTATTTCTTTCTGGGCCGTCTGTTTTTGCAGACCAGTCTGTTCAGATGGCAGAAAAAAAAATTATTTTCAAAACTCTGAGAAAAAAGCTTAGGCCTGCTACCATAGTTCTCCTCCATCGTTTCTTAGTCAAAGTTAGAGCCTCTTTATGCTTGGAGCTCATAGACAATTTTGTTGTTGTTGGATAAAGGGCTTAGTAAATTACTCAGGAGATTATGGGGTGCAAATTCCTTCTACTTGAGTCTACAAAATAGCAACACTCAGCAAGTGGCTCTTACATGATATCTGTCTCCTCACTCAACGTCTATCCTTTCCTCTCTGGCCAGTTAGCAGAGTTGTTAGCTGCTCTGAATATATGGTTCAAACTAATGTTGGCTATGGCAGCGAACATTGACATGTCCTGCAAATTCTTGGCCTCTCTTGTAGATGGTGAGTTTTACCAATGGTTTTGTAATTCATTCCAGGATGTTTTTCCCCTTTTTTGTCATTTTGACAATCATCCAATAAACTTAACATCCTACTGCTCCACTTTTCTAGTAGTGGTTGTTTGGTAGTCACTCATCAGCGAGATTCTAAGCCCCTGTTCTGCTTGTCTTCTCATTAACACCCATATCCAGGTGATGGTATTATGAAGAGATGCTTCATTTCTCTAGCTGTATTGCCCACGGCCAAAACATACTAGGTTTATACCTTCAGACAACACTTGGTAGACTTGGTTGCGAACAATTAATCTTGAGTGAGTTCTTTGTAAGATCCTCTTCAGCTCTAATCCTTGCCAAACAGCCCCTCTCAATTCTTGCATTATTGTTTCGCGTCTGGTTCATGGTGTTTGTAGCTGCTTCGATAATCTTAGCGCCCTGCTTTCTATAAGAAGTTTCTATTGTGTTGAGGTATTCGGAAGTTAGGATCCTTACCCAAAAAAAGCTATCTTGCGTACAACATTGTTATCGGGGTCAAAACCTGCAGTCCAATGATGAACAACTACAGTGTTCCAATAGAACCAATGGTGCCTTGTTAAGAACATGACCATAATCATTATCCTTCAAGAAAATGAACCAAAACGAGCTGTTCAGCATGAACTCTAGGATTCCTTACAGTTTCAGTAATTTGACCTTTGAAATCTGTGGCTCACTCTTCCCCTATAAGGTTGGAATTGAGGCTCCTTTCCATGGCTTTAGTCACCTACATGATATGGTACAGTTTCATAAGCTTCTTTGTCTATTCCATGAGGACCAACTCCTCTTAATTTCTAAGCATCATCCCATCCTTAGGCATTGGTATCACATTCTCTACCCTATTGTAGTTGAGTAGTGAACCTCTGTAAGAGATGGGCAATCTTAGGGTTGGCAGTATCTCTTTGTCTACCCTAGTGTATTTAACTAGCGAAGCTCTATAAGATAAGGGCAATCTAATGGAAGGAGTAGGAGTCATCTGGTTTTAAGGACTTTCCTTTAGGTTTGCAACAAGGCTCTTTGATTGCTTTCTCCTCTAGGTTCTCCTCACTGATGGTCATTCCAGGCTGGAACACACCATTTCCCTCTTGAAGTTTCTTTATACCTCTAGTCATTATTCCTTTCCCTACTTTGAAGCCTCAAGCCTGTCTTGTTCGCTCTCTCTCTGTTGCACCGATATTCTTTGGGTTTATGGCCCGCTTATTTTTTAATCTGTCAAGGGCTCATATTTAAACTGCCAATATTTTTAGAATAAATTTCGTGTAGAATAAATGCCTAGATTAATATATGCTCCATTTACCAATTATAATTTTGTCATTCTCTCTGCCTTGCCTATGAGCTTGAATATGCCAATTTAATCGTTCAAAAATGACTATGCAGCTGCATTACGGGTTGTTTCATACTTGCCACTGCCATACTCTGCTTTAAGCTTTCTGCTAGTGGTTCCAACGCCAGTCAGGGACTTTGTGTACGATTATATAGCAAAGCATCGCTATAAATGGTTTGGGAGGGCTGACGCTTGCTTAGTTTTGCGAGAGAAAGAGCTGCTTGAGCGTTTCATCGATTGGGATGAATTGAGTCGCAAATGAGATGCATGGTTTCAAGTGCCGCAGAGAAAAGCCATTATTACACTTTCCACACTAAAAGCCATTATTACACTTCCCACGTTAACTGTTTAGCGTCTTTGTGCTGCCGAAATTTTGTAAATGTATAGTGCCATCATGAAGTGCATAGATAGACAATGCTCAAGTCTAACCCAGTCAAAAAGAATTATACTGCTGTCTTTTTGTCGCATACAATGATTCAAAACAATGATCCGTAATACTACGGTTCTAATTATAAGACCTTATTTATAGTCTACAAATGAAGTCTTGTAAATAAAACTTGATGTAGTACAAGGTAAATGCTATCTGATTACGTAATTGTTTGCTGATTATGTTGTTCTGTCAAGTGAAAAATATCTTGTTTTAACAAATAAAGGCTGATTACCTTGTGTATAAGTGCTTGTTAGAGATTTAGTATCAAACTAAATATAAAATCTTAATTTATTTTGATTTTTATAGTTATTGATTTTATTTTTAAGTAATTCTCATAGTAATTGTACATATTAAGAAATTTTCATAAAGGGTAATTTTAATATATATAATTAATAAGAATATTTTAAAATAAATATTTATTTATTACAAATAGTTAACTTAACTAATTACTTTTTTATGACAACTTAAATAATTATTTTAGTGCTTGCAAATTTCTTGTGGTATATAACATTTAAAAATTATTCATTTAGTTTTTATATTAAGGATTAAGGATATAATGTTTTAAAGAGCTTGTGCTGTGGTGGCTGTGGACCACTGAGAAGTAAGTTCCCCAATGTTTTTTCTACCCAACTCTTAATGTTGGGGTGTGAGGACGTAAAGTTGAGCCTTCTATGTAATGGATGACATGAGTTATGGTTGAAAAAGAAGAGTGACACCAATGGCCAAAAATAAATAAATCAGGGAGAGTTACACAATTTTTAATACTACTTCCGGTTTTTTTTTGTAAGAACTATTTTAATTTTCAATTTAATCCTAAAAATAAAATCTCAATCTACTACTCTTATATTTATTTATTTATTTTAAATAGTTCTTGTAGTAATGCACATGTTAAAAACTCCATCAAATGGTAATTATAACTAATACATATGATTAATAACAATATTTTAGAGAAGATAACAGATATTTATTGTAAACAATTAATTTAACTAATTTTTTTAATATACTCAAATTAATTAATTAGTTTTATATTAAGGATCAAAGATAGTAGCACAATAATATATTATGTATCTTATTTATAGCTGAGTATCAAATATTTCTTTATGTTAAAACCAGCAGGAATCAGAATGTAAGGTAGTGTTCGGTCAAAAAAGAGAAAAAAAGAACGTAAGGTGGTGCCTAACAAGGCTGTTGTAGCCATCACAGGGACTAAACAACGCGAACATATAGCATGGAGACCAGATATTATTCTTATACGGATTATAGTTGCAACATTTTCATCTATATTAGTGAGACTCCAAGCTCACAATATTTACTTCTCAAGAAAAAAAAAAAAAAAAAAAGAAGCTCATGCCATAACATGATGACACTATACAACTTAATTATTATATCCAAGTCATTTGCATCTCATTCTTCTTACGTATTAAGGAAAGCATTAAATTGATAAAACTTTTCACATTTGCTCTATTAAAAAAAATGGTATTGAAAAAAATATGTTGTACATTTTTTCTCACCTATTTCCTTTATTGTACTAAATAGGGATAAAATTAGGAAAATGTCATCAATTATCCCACAAGTGATTTACATTTAAGAACAAAGCCTCCATACCTAATTTCACCAACAAATTTTCCGTCATAAAAAGTTCAAATTTCTGATTACACTCATTATCAATGGATTTATTACTACTAGCCCGTCTTGAAAAGAGACACAATCAACGTTAAAATTAAGATACAAAAAGGGTTCTACTTGTTTCTTTCATTTATCAGTTGGTACCAGAAGCAGTCCATTCTTTCCAGTCCTTGTCAACATGATTTTGAGCCCACTTGATAGCAGCACGTGCAGCCTGTGGCCCTCCTGGTAATCCCCTCTCATTTACAGTATCGGCCATGTCTATGAATGGTAACACCAATAGTGTCCCCGGTCCTCCATATTCTGAGTGTAAGAAAGTACTGAATATCTGTTCAACATTCACACAATATAGAGCCAACATTGATGAGTTCATTCTAATAATATTGTTTGCAATGGCCACCAGAAGTTACAACCAATCAAACAGAGAGTGAATTCACCAATGATTGATTACAGACAATGTCCACAAAAAGAGGACAGTCGGAGAGACAGACAACGTTTAACTTGAACTTGAAAATCACATATGAATAAATTTCAAGTAAAAAACATATTTATGGAGGACTGATCTACAAGAGATATATAAAGCATGCCAATCATAGAGATGTTAGTATTTCAAACATATTTTTCAATGCTCCATCTTATAATGTTAGATATGGCTATATTCTGAGTATCTTCATGAGCTCTTTCATTTTCAGGAGTACATTACACATTTCTTTATTACGGATACAATGTTTTCCAAATGAAGTTCTATTCTATACAAGATTTCAGATGTCAAGCTCAATCTGAAGATAATAGTTCTCCATTACTCATCATAACAGATATCACAAAGGCCATGAACTAAACCAGTAAACACAGCTCAAGATCATTTTTTCCCAGTAAACACAGTTCTAGCTTCTTCTTTTTCTCTTTTTAATTTTATTCAAAGTTTGTCGCCCAATAAATCAGAAGAATCATGACATATGTTATAATCCGTAGCTTTATTCTGAGTCCCTATCTATATCTTACCCCTTCATAAGTCAGAAATGAGACTTTTCAGATTACTGGTATGTTATCAAAGGGGCCTAATAAACCAATATCGCTTTACCCACAATATTGCTTTAGCATCACTAAAACCAAAGATGAGAAACAAAGTAAGCCCTAGCATTCGCCAGAAAATTTGTTGTTGAGCTCAACAAGTATATCATCTGAGACAACTTTGCTATATTTTGGAACAAAAGGGCAGAGAGCATAAGCAGGGTAACTCACTTCGGTGCAAACACCTACAACTTCGTCAACTGATTCCCCATACATATCTTTCTTCGAAAGTTTCTTCAGTAGATGGTTTCTGAACTTTTTCGTCTCCTGACAGCGGCGTAAAGAGGACATTAAGTAACTTTCTTCAACAGAACCCAAAAAAATAACAAATTGAAACAGAAACTCACGGCATCAGCGAATTCAGGAATTGGGTCAGGGAATTTGTATTCTGCAGCTCTAGTAACGAGCATTTTTGTGGATGAGGAGGAAGGAAATCTGTATTCCTTCGATGAAGGAAACGAGGAAATTTTTTTGTAAGTTGTTCCATATAAACGGCTCTGTGAGAAGGATAATGACCGAGCACAGAACAACGAAGAAGAAGAAGAAGAAGAAGAAGAAGGGATTGAATCGAATATTGAAGCGGCAAAACACGAAGTAGAAGAGGCACACCAAGACATCTCAGTGACTTTATCCGATTTCCTTTTGCGCATGGGACGCTCGCTGCGACTTTTAAACTTGGGCTAATTTTACTGGGCATCTCGCTGCTATAAATTTTATATTTTATATTAATTAACATTAATTTTTATAAAATAAATCCTTAAAGACAAAATTTCAATTTTGGTAAATCTCATCCAGTTGCTTTTGTCTCTTTTGAATGCTTATATGCAAGGAATAAAAAATCGAACTGGACACTAAACCGGTTGAAGTAGTGGTTTAAGGGTTAATGGGTCAGATCGGGGTTAACTCGGATCAGACCAGTCATATTAAAATAATATGAAAAATATTATTAATCATCACTGAAGTCCAAGTGATCATGATTTTAAAATATAATTTTGGTAAATTTTACAAAAACATTGATATTTACTTATAAAATATTTTATGAAGGTAATATTTAAGATATATGATTAAATAATAAATATATATTATATACATCAGATCCCTATTTTATTTTGTACCATTAGTTCACCGTGACCCTTACTCAAATTTTATGGGAGATGGTGCCATACCCACAATGTCAACTAAGGAGGAGTAAAAACAGCACCCATGTCAGTGGTTATTAACAGTGAATGAAAAATCGGACCGGACCGGCCGGTTCAGGCTAGAAACCGACCAACCGACCAGTTTTTCGGTCTGGTTCAGCAACAAAACCGGTGTACGATCAAACCGGAAGAAACCGGTGCAAACTGGCATCAAACCGGGTAACCCGCGGGTTGGAATGGGTTTCCCGGTTCTCTGTATTCTTTTTCTGAATTGTGGGAGAGAAGAAGGACCTTACCGGAAAAAAAGAGAGGAAGAAGAGAAGGAAAAGAGAAGGAAAAACGTAAAGAAAAACTTACTGTAAACTGATAAATCATGATGAAGATAAAATGAAGAGCTTTCTAATTTTTAGAGTACATAGGAAAAGAAGGGAAAAGATTTCAGTGAGAGTGGAGGCTTCATTGACGGCAAGACAAGAGAGAGAAGCTTGAACAGAGGAGCACGAAGAGATACAGACTACAGATGGAAGGCAAGAGATTCAAATAAAATAAAAGAAAGCAAAATAATAAAAAGGATGCTTTTTTATTAATAACCACTGACATGGGTGTTGTTTTTACTCCTCCTTAGTTGACATTGTGGGTATGGCACCATCTCCCATAAAATTCGAGTAGGGGTCACGGTAAACTGATGGTACAAAATAAAATAGGGATATGATGTATATAATATATATTTATTATTTAATCATATATCTTAAATATTACCTTCATAAAATATTTTATAAGTAAATATCAATGTTTTTGTAAAATTTACCAAAATTATATTTTAAAATCATGATCACTTGGACTTCAGTGATGATCAATAATATTTTTCATATTATTTTAATATGACCGGTCTGATCCGAGTTAACCCTGCTTTGACCCATTAACCCTTAAACCATTACTTCAACCGGTTTAGTGTTCAGTCCCGTTTTTTGTTCCTTGGTTATTAATGAAAAAGCAGCCTTTTTATTATTTTGCTTTTTTTTATTTTATTTGAATCTCTTGCCTTCCATCTGTAGTCTGTATCTCTTCGTGCTCCTCCGTTCAAGCTTCTCTCTCTTGTCTTGCCGTCAATGAAGCCTCCACTCTCACTGAAATCTTTTCCCTTCTTTTCCTATGTACTCTAAAAATTAGAAAACTCTTCATTTTATCTTCATCATGATTTATCAGTTTACAGTAAGTTTTTCTTTACATTTTTCCTTCTTTTTTCCTTCTCTTCTTCCTCTCTTTTTTTCCGGTAAGGTCCTTATTCTCTCCCACAATTCAGAAAAAGAATATAGAGAACCGGTAAACCCATTCCAACCCGCGGGTTACCCGGTTTGATGCCAGTTTGCACCGGTTTGCTCCGGTTTCTTCCGGTTTGATCGTACACCGGTTTTGTTGCTGAACCAGACTGGAAAAATTGGCCGGTTGGCCGGTTTCTGGCATGAACCGGCCGGTCCGGTCCGGTTTTTCATTCACTGCTTATATGATACTACCTCCTATACCTGTAAGGTGTACTTCATAGGTTATTATCTTAGAACCGGAGCTAGTAAAAGATTAAAAAAATGGAATCAAATATGTAAAATAATTACTCCATAAATACAACCAGCAACATTTTATTTCAAGACAAAAACCAAATTATCTACATAAATATAATCGTTTTTGCATATTTGTATATTTTTCTTCCTCCACCAATATTTATTAGATATAGATTTGCGGGGCGAAGCATATAGCTGCCTAGTTGGTTAAATGCTATTAGAAAAAGAATTCAAAAATAATTCAAATTCAAATTTGATTTTTTAATTATTATGAATATGAATAATAAAAATAAATAAATAATAATAAAAGAGATTGGATTTCAATTTGGAATTACTTTTCTTTAGAGAGAATTCGAAGTAAGACGAAAATGCGAGAGCTTTTTTCTTGTTTTGCTTTCTTTGTACATTATCCAAAACATATATATATATATATATATATATATATATATATATTCCTACTTGTCCGACAATTGTTGAGCAGTTTTTGGATATCAAACGGATCTCTCCAGAAAGTAATTTTACTGTGACCAATTTTCCCTCCTTTGCAATCAGTTTCGCTTCAACACCTGCTGTTCTAGCTAATTGTCATTGACCAATTCATATATAGATCAACCATTACACCATTTTTTAGTTCAACTGATCAAATCAACCGACTTAGTTCAGCTCTCAAAACATTAATCTCATATGAATTTCAACTATTATTTTCATCTCTTCTTTATTATTTCATATTACATCCTAATAAACAGCATTTGAAGTTTCTTTCATCATTTTCTAAATGCGTCCCCACCTCATATTGGTATAGAGAAGAATTTTAAAGGAAAAAAGGATACAACAAAGGCATATAGGACTTTTGGCATTGAAATTAGTACTTCATTAAGTTTTTCCCCTCGTATAAATAAGCCAATCATCTTCCTGATAAATTGATTGGCATACTAAAAATATTCTTGTTAATATTTCATTATATTAGGTTTTTCAATGAAAAAATCCTAAGAAAAATACTACTTAAATTTTAAAATCCTAAATTAGCCTTATTCTTTACATTTTAAGAACAATTGACTATACTTGAAGAGCAATTAATAATGTATTTTTATAGGAATTCTTGATTTAGGATTTTTGAAATTTAAGTGATTTTTTTTTTTTTTGGGATTTTGCCTTTCTCAATCAACTTTTGAGTTGTAAATGCCAGCCTGAATATGTGACTCGCTTATAACGTCTAACTAAATGTATACTATGTACTCCTCCATTCCTTAATATAAAACCTATTTAACTAATTTTATTAGATTAAAAAATTTAAGTTATTTAATTATAAAGAATATTATATGTTTTTTCCTACAATACCATAATCATCCTTATTAATATTCTCCCTCCCCCTTCTACTTGATTATAGTTGAGAAAGTATTCATAAAAGTAATTTAGAAAAAATTGATAAACATGATAAATAATTTTTATATTTAAAACCAAAATCAGCTTAATAATTAGGTCTTATATTAAGGACTAGAAGAGTATATAAATTTATTAAGTACCATTTCAATACATTTCGAATTTGATCTCAATTTTAAGCTTTGTTCAGATCCCAAAATAAAAAAAGTTTACAATTTGTGAAAGGAGGAAAAAAAATCTCCATTGGAAAAAATTCCCTTTTGCAGCCAACTAATTCAAATCCAAATTAACAAGTACCAGCATATATCAGATAGTTTGTCAAAAAAAATGCAAATTTAATAGACGCAATTTCTTGCATGGGAAAAGATAGCAATCAGCAAAAGCCAAGAACTTCTATTTTAGATTCATGAGAAAGGGCTCCTGAAAGGACTCGTAAGGTTCATGGAAGAGTTATACTTAGTCTGAACTGACACAAGAAGTGAGTGAAAAGCCGAAAACTACTTACATATATACATAGAGTAAAACTGATCCACTCACTTAACCCAAAAAACCAAAAAAAGAGACGAAAAACTTATTTACTTACAAGATGGTGGGCCCCTCCTGATGTCTAACTCCGCAATTTCTCAGTTTAAAGATTTCTTTCATGTGGTTCAAGCCAAGGAAATCCCAGAAAATCAAACACTTCCTTTTCTGTGTGAAATTTCAGACTTGCTGTTCCTCTTCCACCCTGGAACATAAAGATGCATGACAAGTCAACTAATATTAATAATGCATAGGAGAATAGATTATAGTAACAACCACCCCAGAATGAAGCCATACCCGTTTTCCACCAGAACCCTGAACAGCGGGGAACAAACCAGTGTCATCAAGCCGGAATCCTTTAGATTCTGCCAGCAGTCTCAACCTGTACTCAGCATCAAACTAAAGTGGTGACTTTCCAACTCAGATGATCAAGAGGGGATGAAAAAAGAACAAATTGCTCCAACCATAGCAATGTGCATATATATATGCTGATGGGAGTGTCCAGTTTATTCCAAGAGAAAGAGAAGCAGTAAGCCATTAATTGTACCAAGGTTGGTCATTCCATTATGGTTACCAAATTGACCAGTTGAAAAATTTATACAGATGAAAAATCAATTTTGAAGTTCATATCAACATGAACATCATCGACAGTCCATTAACCAAGTCAGCTTCAAAGATAAGTGCCATAGCAGAGTTTAAGTAAAATCATCCACGATTGAACTGAAAACACCAGTAAAGTGTAAGGACCAAAAAAAGTTGGATAAACTATAAAAAAAACATGTAATTATCCCGAAAATTTAAAATTCTCATTCAAGTTCTTAAGGTATTCAAAATGCCTCAACATGTAAAATTGATATGGTAACACGGGGAAAAATACTAGCATAGTGATTAAAATTTATGAGAAATAAACAAATCAATACTTAAACCCTGAAAACTGCACGAGCATACCTCCTATTTAAAACATCATTTCCTGTCCAAGCTATAAGTCCAAAAGCATATATGTCTCTTGGGTACACCTGCCAAAACATTAATATTTAGACTAATATTTTTTGCAGATGTCTATATAGTCGATGGTCAAAAGTTTACACATGGGGGAGGAGGGAAAATGGGAGCAGACTACTTAGATATACACAGCCAATATCGGATGATTTAGCAATTTATAATGCCGGCAAAAGAATGAAAGTACAAATTGAGACTTCAAAACTCCAAGAACATCATGCAGAAAATATGTCACTCGGGATGCACATATGAATAAATTCACAACATTACACCAAGTCAAAAAGAGAAATCAGGAAACTCCACAATTTTTCCTGAACACTCAGAATCTTCATCAGACATTCAATAAAAGATCAATTACCATCTCTTACCTTTAAATCTATTCGATGGCGCAACTCCCTCCCAGGATAGGTACAAAAACCAAAGTATGTGTCAACGCCAGAATCAGTACCCTGAGTTTACTTAGACAAGTCAACAAGGAAACCTTTTGCATAACTCCGAATCACATGATCAAGGCAAGATTTTGTATACACAAATCACAATGGAAGAATAGGGTTCATAGTTCATACTGCCATTTAAAAATCAAGGAAAAATGTGTCTTACATAATGGACAAGATAACTCCACATGCGCATACAATCACTGACATAACCATCAATACGGTAATAAGATATACGAGGCATGTGTACCATCATGCAAAAAATACTTGGTTTTAAAGGAAATGGAAAGGACCTTTAACTTTCCAAGTAAAAAGGACACTAGAAAATAGGAAAAAGCTCATATTACCTCTTCGCTGTGAATACTGAAAATCAAATCTTCTCTTAGGAAATTCATTTCCTTTAAACGCTGTACAAATTTTGTCAAAAATCCTTTGTGACTGCAAGCCAGAAAAAAATCAACTGAGCCTTCAAACACAAAAATAGAAACTTTCAAAAACAAAACGTACAGAGGAATACACATTATTAGTCAGTCGCTTTCTCTTTTAACAGAAGGAGCAAAAGGATGGTGGTGGATGCTGCATCCCTCCTTCTCCCCCCCCCCCCAACAAAAAAAAAAACCATAAATGAAATAAAGCAAAAGAAAATATTGAAAGTAAAACTTCAAGCATCTCATTAATAGTTAAAAACGTAAAGACTTAAGTGATTTGTCTAATAATTCAACAAACACATTCATGTAACAAAAAGAATAATAAAAGCTCGCACACTATAGTTATAATCATATGAAAATCTTTCAGGAACAAATTTTGCATGATCCCAATTGAAAAATGTCACTGCATTAATAAAATTCATAACGTAACAACATTTTCTGTTGCGATGTTTTTTTAGTGCCTCCATTTAATTATATTGTTTTTTCAAAGTTGAAGGCAGGGATGAAAGATATCAAACTCACCTTTTTCCATCAGGATGTGTAATAATAATGTCCATATCTCCACATGTAGCTTTTCCACGTCTATATGATCCACCACAAACAATCTCAGCCTAATCGACATGACAGGGGCATAACCAAGATTTTAATTCACACATTGCTCAAAAAACCACAGCACCAACAAAAGTTGAAATTGTGAATAACATCATGAACTGAAATTAAAACAGCAGAAGATACTTTTAAAAAAAATTCATCCTAAACCTACAAGTTATAACTGCATTACGTGATTTGAATTACAATAGGTCACAGATCATGATTACAACAAAATTACGACAGTAGTCTAAGCCTAAAGCACCATCCTTGAAAAAGAGATACAAGGTAAGAAAATGGCACCAAAAATCGCATACCCAAATGATAGTCTGATGAAGAAACATAAAGTAGAAAAGAGTAAAGGGGGGAGAGAGAGAATAAGAGAAAGGAATGAAGAATTCTATTATCAACAATCAAGATACCCCATTACACCCTTGCTCAACCCTTTACACAACTACAAGCCGGAGCTAGTTAACATAGTCCAAGTATAGAAACCCTTCGTTTTCATACATGTCAAACAATTCCAGGAAATAATTGAGAAATCATGAACATGAAATCTGCCTCTCCCCTGCCTGTTGACTATTCTGTTACATAAAAAGTTTCTTCTTCCAATGCAATCTTTTGATCATTAAGAGAAACGTTAATTCAATCAACGTACCCTTCATCAAATTGCAGCATTGGCACTACATCAAAAGCAGTCTCGTATCATCAGTTGATGCTATACATGGTAGATGTTTTTAATATATTCTAACTAATATTGAACCCATATCACACGTATTGCATCAATATATTTCCCTATTCATTCCTTTTAACTAACAAATAGATTGCTAATCCCTTGACAGTCTTCATAACAATACTACCTACTTAAAGAAATTATCTTTGTCCTTAAGGATCTAGACAAATCAAATCTTCAAGACAGAATTCTAAAGGCAACAAAAATCGAATCCTCTGATGCGACTAATACATCGGACATCAAATTCACAAACTTATATCCCACAGTCCTAATTTCTCAGTTTGCTAGACGTCCTTGTGTTGGGCCTTTTAATTCCTTCCAAGGCCCACCTTATTGCTGGACAAGGCTCTTAGATGCTTCTAGGTTGGTGGAGAAGCAACACTATTCATCGATTAGACCAACACATGACAAACTAGCCAATGCTTTTGACTAGAAAAATCTTTTTGCTTTGTCTGTGTACAAGCCTGCAATCCTTTCCAGCTTGGCCCTCTTTTCTCAAGAGTCTCAAGGGGTTTGCTTGAAGTCTGAATTGATGTCGTGTGGCTCAAACAAGCAAAGCATCCTAGAATGCTCATGCATGATTTAATCAGAGATTTAAACTGGGGTGGTTGTTGAGTTTCTTGGCCCAGGTTTATGGGAACATTGAAGCATGAATATGTTATCATAATCCTAGTTCTAACATTAATTTAAGATTCCAAATCCACTGAATCAACAAATCAACAACTTATCAAAGATCATCTTAAGCTTCGCAAAAATATTCCCAGCAATCATGATGATGAGCCATAAACTAAACTTCAACGGAAAATCTGTCTTTACTCAAAGAAGATGCTCAACTGCCAATGAAAGATGGAGGAAGTGAAACAAGAGGAGACAAAGGATGAAGGCTGATGAAGAGCGATGATGGTCTAACTGTTGTGACTTGATGGAACCCCGGCCATAGAGAATGGAGAAAGTTTTAGAGGCTTTTCCTCATGGTTTGCTTGGGAGGTCACGTCTTGGCCAATGGAATGTCCAATCTTGTCAATTTTTACTGCTCTCATTTTTTCCACCTCTTCCTCGGATTTTCCTTCTTCCTCTTTTTTATTGCTAGATTCACATTTTCCTTTTTGCTTCTTCTTGCCTTGGCTTCTATCTTGCCTAGTTAGTAAATCCAAATGAGGCTTCACAGTCCAAGATTCTCACTTGACACTGCTTCAATCTTGCCTACAAAAACGTCTGTGGTTACTTCATAGCCGCATCCACCATGAAAGCTTGATTCTTGTCAAGACCTCTTCAAATCATCAATCCCCAACACATTCTGCTCTAGACAAGCATAATTACTCTTGAACATTGTCACATGAAGCTCCAGCCTCTATCCAAGATCTCCAAGCTGTTTGTGTAATCAAGTATCTGTTCTGCTCTAGAAAAGCATTATTACTCTCAATCATTGTCACATGAAGCTTCAGACTTTATTCAAGATCTCCAAGCTGTTTGCGCAACCGAGTCTCCATCACTACTATTTGGATAACATTTTTGACCAAATGGCTAAAAAATCAGCTCTAATACCACTTGACATGTGGTGGACATTTTTACTGGATTCAGACTAATACTGAAATCATATCAAACCTATTACATCAATATATTTCCCTATTTATAGAGGATTCCCTTCTTACTAACTAACAAATTATTAATGCCCTGACCTTCTTTGCTCTTGCAACATAAATATGCATAAACAGACAATAAATCCATGCAGTGTCTATAGAAAATAAACTAACGATTTTACAGGCTCTGAAAGATCAAACATTTAAAAAAACTCATGCATTCCAACCCAACTAGGGTAGTGCTCACCCCAGGCAATATATCCTCACCAACTTTCTGCAATAAGTTCTCCATCTCTTGTACCTATCAAATCAGAAAGGGTGTTAAAAGTTTTGGAGTAAAAGAAAACAAGTTCTTTGCAATGAATATCTTGCAAAAAGTATTACCAGACCTCATTGCGTGGAATCCTTTGCCTAATATCATCAAAGTATTTCAACCCTAACTTTTGTGCATTTGTTAGCGAATCATCATTCCTCAGATCATCTAATGTACGGTGTCCTTTCTCATACAATTTTAGTGCTGTGGCTGGACCTATACCCCACACTTCTCCAAATAAGGATATTGTTCGCACCTATAGTGAAGGGACAAACGAGTGGGCAGTAAAATCACAAATATAGCCCGAGTGAAGCAAAGCACTACAGTAGAAAATGTGCTATATATAGAACAAATATAGCTATTTTTTATTATATATATTTCATATCTTATATAGTATTTTTAATTAAAATTTATTTTTAAATAGTTTAATTTTCCAATGCATATATACGATTATCTATTTTATATGATGTATAATGTTTTAAAGTAAATTTCCTATTTAAATTTCAATATTTTGCATAACTTATATATTATATTATTTGTTTACAAGGGAAACTAAAAAAGTTAAATCATGAAGAAAAGTTCTCAAAGGTCGCAAAGTGAGACATGTTAAAACTTGTAATACCTTCTCATCAGTTTCAAAGTGCTCCAACTTGGATAACTTGCCAGTGGTTATTATCTCCTGTATCTGGACACAGTAAAATCGATTGCTTCATTTGTTATAGGACCAAATGAGAAAGAGAAGTCTTAAATGCAAGTAGGAAGATGCACAAATGTCCAAGGAATTCAATATTCTGGTTGTTGTACGGTCAACAGAGTTCTATTGCCTTCAGAATGCAAAAAATCAATTCATCAGCTACAAAGCATCATATGATTACTACAACCAAGTCAAATTTAAGAGAAGACGATCTCATAGGACAGAAACAAGATGAAGCTAATAGTAGGTGGCAATTATTATTAATATATTAAAACTAATTCTATATTGAGCTCAAGGTTACAGTAAATGAATCCGTATGTAAAACAGCCTAAGATAGCAGTTTCTATAGCTCACTCACATGATCTTTCATTGATTTTCCAATTGATGGCAGGTTTTTGACCTGGTCCACGCTTTCAATCTTAAATGGCAACTTCTCAATCACCGCAATAGCTTTGTAATAGCTAAAGGACCTCCGATCATCACCCAAAGCTTTGAAACAGCATTAGCACAATAAACAAGTGCCCAAGAAAAATATAAAATAACGGGAGAATAATCTGAAGGAGTTATTTGGGGCTTACCTCTATATATGTTCACAAGTTTCCCAAATATCTCCGTTATGTTCTTGTTTAGATCAGGTGGACAGTAAGTTAAGGATGGCTGTAATGTTAGGCCCTCATTAGAATAGTTTCCAAAAAGAGCAATGCAAAAAGCTTAGATGCCATATTTGAATTATGTGACCTTTTCGGATTATTGGTTCTTATTAATAGCAAAATCTACAATTTTAGTAGTTTTTAAAAATCACACATGCTTTTGGAGAATGCTTTTCAATCAACTCAAAGTTTTGGAGCGGTCTTTGACAATTGACATGGCACGTTATGAATTTACTTGGTAAAGCTTATACTTCCAAACTAAGCCCAAAAAATTTAGGGAAGAACATAAGAGTATATATATACTTGAATTGTAAGCTTCTAGGTCTTACTGCCTCATTTTCAGCATTTGGGCTTTGAGGTCTTGTACTTGCATAATGTAAACAGCCAACTGAATCATCATGACTGCTTGCTGTACTTGGTGATGAATATACTTCATTTTCTCTTCTATCTTCAGTAGCGTCAACATTTACAATTTCAATATCCTCGGAAGAGGATTTCATCCTTTTGTTGGGTAATCCTTTATTGTCACTGGAACTGCTTCCATTAGCTGGTTCAGGACCCAAAGTCTCATCGGGTACATTTTCTTCATCCGGGACCACCTTCAGTATGTACATATCCTCAGATAGCTTCTCCCCCGACTTCAAGCTGTCTTCCAACCATTGATAAAGGAGAACTCTCTACAGCAATGATCATTAAAGCACTTTCCGAGAATAAATATGCAAACCCACATAATGAGGTTTGAAGATGGAAAGCACGTTCACCAAAGGACTAGATTTAGAATAGTTACTAATAAAATTTCCCTATAGGAATATTAAGCGTACAAGGTTTTTTCGAAAACCAATAAGGTAATATGTTCTTTTCTTTCATACACTTGTTTGCAAAAATAAAAGAATCATGCTTTTATAGAAATATTAACAGCAAAGAAATAAAATCTGTCGTTTAAGTTTTTCTTTCCCAAATAGCAACTTTCAGTTGCCACAAGATACACTAAAGAAGCAACTCACACTTCTGTTTAGATAATATAACAATTTATTCATGCAGAAGAACTGAAGTAAGTTCGTCAATAAGCAACCCCAGCATGTTCGAAAATTAAGATTATAAAAAATATACTTAATTGAAGCAAAAGCAGGAAAAAATTGGCTGACCCCTTTAAAACGTGACAAATGCTCACTATCCAATTGCCGGAGAAGGGAATCAGAGTCCATAGCCAAAATGTGAGTAACCCTTTTGGACAAACGCTCTTCTATGACAGCCCCCATTTGCGCTAATTTCTGCTTCCAAATCTTCAAAAACCAAAGTACGGAAGGGAAATGAAAGTAAATTACCAAAAACGAAGAAGCATGGAACAAACATAAGTGTGGGTAAGAGCAAAAGAAAAACACACACACACAAGTACAGATTGACAAGCTTAAGTGTATGCAGTGAAACCTGCAGTCGACGAGCTTGAACTCCTTTTTCGACTAAGAAAACGACCATTCCCGAGAATATGCCATGTGGATGAGATGAACTTGAATTCTTTATTGCTTTAGACTTTGGCGCCATTGTGGCGGGTTCGTTTCTTCAGAAAGAGGTTCGTGGGTCGTCTATTGGCGGGTTCGTTTCTTCAGAAAAAGGGAGTTCGAGGGTCGTCTACAGAGCACATTACATAATGCCAGAGGGGTCAGGTAAAAGTGTAGCCGGTAATCAAATAAGCAGGTAGTCAACAGTAGGCCTAGGGAAAGGGGGAAACCTTGTGCGTGTGTCGCGTCATATGTTTGTGAGGACAAAGCCGAGTGCTATTTACGTTGGAATTTCGTGCTCAAAAATTCCTAATGGGCTCCCTTTGGATAGGAAGAAAAGCAGGGTAAAACGAAAATGAGAGGAAACTGAAAGGAAAAATGTTGTTATCATTTTTTTGGGGTGATAAGAGAAAACAAAGATGAAGAAAATAAGCAAATGGTAAACTTAACATATTGATTAATATCTTGAGTAAAGAATCAGACCAATCTAAGCATTGTATGGCGGGGTGATTTGGACTAAAATTGTCATTATATAGTTGAGTGACCGAATTCAATTCACAATATAAGTCATTTTGACTAATTTATTAACATCAAAAAATCTCAGTTAACTCATTAAATATATTTTAAATTAAATTTTTTTTAACTTTACACATATACTCATTGAAGTTGTGAGGGAAAGAAAGAACATAGAGAATTACGTTTAAACATTTATTAGGGGGAAGACTTAATGGATGTAGTGGAGCCGAGGCCATCACGCAGCGCAATGACATATTTTGTCCTCTTCCACCGAGCAACATACTGTTCTGGTCTTACTTTTATATTTAGGATAGAATAAAAAAAATTTAGCCTTCTTTGTAGTAATTTTTTATATGGATGTACAATTTCACTCTTTATTTATTATTGTGTCAACTTTATTTACACAAGGTACAATATATATAAATAGAGATAAAATTAAAAAATTATTAAATTTTTAATGAGAGTTAATAAAATTTAAGATTTCTTTTAATTTGTATAAAATATGTTGAAAATAACTTATAAATCGGACTAAATAAAAACCCTTATATGAGAGCCACTTTGGAGCGATTTTTTGATGCAACTTGGGGAGAGGGCCCCCTTATTTTATACACATATATGTTTGTGTGCGTGTGTATTTTTTGGTGAACAAAACTCTTGATATATATTGATATAATGTTATTTCGTTGGTAACTCCTTTTTCGACTAAGAAAACGACCACTCCCGAGAATATGCCATGTGGATGAGATGAGATTGAATTCTTTATTGCTTTAGCCTTTGGCGCCATTGTGACGGGTTCGCTTCTTCAGAAAGAGGTTCGTGGGTCGTCTATTGGCGCGTTCGTTTCTTCAGAAAAAGGGGGTTCGAGGGTCATAAGGCCAAAAGGAGAGAGGTGGTAATACGAGCTGACGGTGCGGATACGGACCAAAAGCGGTACGGGCTGGCAAAAAGCCCACCTCCATATTCTTTTTTTTAAAATCAAAACTATTATTATTAATATAGGTTGAATTTAATTTAAAATGTTAAAATTAGGTTTCGAATATTGAATTTGAATAGTGAGTTATAATAAAATAAAATGAAGATTAATTTATAATTTAAGAATATATTTTTAAAAAACTAATATATTTTTTATAAATAGTTAATTTAACTAGTTTTTTTATTCAAAGTAATTTAGTTTTCCTATTCAAATTAATTAAGTAGATATTTTATGTATAAATGTATAAGTATCACATGTTTATTTAATTTTATAAAGTCTTTTATAGTGACACAACAAATAAATGAAAAATAAAAGATGGACAATGATCTTCGTATAACTACACACAGAATCACAAATATATAAAGTGTTTAATTACTTATGCAATGATATGAAAAAAACAATGTTTAATTGTTCATGTGGAATTTAATAATCAAAATATTTTAATTATATTACAAATTATATGGAAAAAAAAAAGAAGAAGATGGGCTAGCTCGTCAACCCGTGAGCTAGCCCGCGACGGAACAGGCTCAAAATAGTACGGGCTGGAATAGCCCACACCTTGACGGGTGGACATATTGTCAACCCAAACCTGTCTTTTTGACGGATTGGATCCACGGACCCGGCCCGTATTACCAGCTCTACAGAGGGGTCAGGTAAAAGCGTAGCCGGTAATCAAATGAGCAGGTAGTCAACATTAGGCCTAGGGAAACCTTGTGCGTGCGTCGCCTCATATGTTTGTGAGGACAAGGCCGAGTGCTATTTACGTTGGAATTTCGTGCCCAAAAATTCCTAACAGGCTCCCTTTGGATAGGAAGAAAAGCAGGGCAAAACGGAAATGAGAGGAAACTGAAAGGAAAAATGTTACTTCCTCCGTTCTTTATTATAAAAGACATTTGATCATTATGGTATGTTCCCATATATAAGAGACACTTAAATTTATCTCTATTTTTTTGTATTGATTTCTTATTTTACCCCTATTTATTTTGCCTCCAACTCATATTCTCTCATCTTCCCACTTCTCTTTTTTTTAATAATTTAATTGCTCTCTCTCATAATCTCTCTCCTTATTAATGGGGTATTGTTAGAAAAAAACATTATACTTTTTACACATTAACTGTCCTTAACTAATTTTAATTGTTTTTTTATCAACGTAATTTGGTTATTTGTCTCTTATAATAAGAAACGGAAGAGTATCATCAGTTTTTTGGGATGAATAAGAGAAAACAAAGGTGAAGAAAATAAGCAAATGGTAAACTTAACATATTGATTAATTTCTTGATTTAAGAGTCAGACCAATCTAACCATTGTACGGCGGGTTGATTTGGACTAAAATTGTTTTTATATAGCTGAGTGACCGAATTCAATTCACAATATAAGTCATTTTGACTAATTTATTAACATCAAAAAATCTCAGTTAACTCATTAAATACATTTTAAATTGAATTTTTTTTTTAAACTTTACACATATATATTAAAGTTGTGAGGGAAAGAAAGAACATCGAGAATTGCGTTTAAACATTTATTAGCGGGAAGACTGAATGGAATGTAGTGGAGCCGAGGCAATTACGCCGCCCAATGGCATTTTGTCCTCTTCGACCGAGCAACATACTGCTCTTGTTTTCTTTTCAGAACAGAGAGAAAAAAAATTTTTAATCTTATAATAAGTTATTGAGAATTTTTTATATAGATATATAATTTTTATTTTTTATTATTATGTCGACTTTATATACACAAGATAAAATATATATTAAATAGAAATAAAATTAAAAAATTATTAGATTTTAAATAAAATTTTTTTTGAATTTCAAATAAAAATTAATAAAATTTAAGATTTTCTCAGTTTATATAAAATATGTTAAAATAACTTATAAATTAAACTAAATAAAAATCTCTTATGAAGAGTAATGACTCTAGAGTCACTTTGGAGCGACTTTTTTGATGCAACCTGGGGGGAGGGCCCCTTATTTTATACATGTGTGTGCGTGTGTATTTTTTGGTGAAAAAACTCGATATATATTGATGTAGTGTTATTTCCTTGGTAACTGCGCATTATGTTCACAAACTCATTGCGGATTTATTTTTAATATATATAATCTGCGTACAATTATTTTTGTTAAATCTTTTTAAATTATTGTGCCACTGGTCTAACCAGTTAGACTATAAGAATTATATAACAGTTAGCTGTTTTGGTTTGACATTCGATATGAGTTGTTATAATATAAATTTTTAATATTACTTCCAACATTTAACATAAGAGCTAATTAGAATATTTAATTTGGTTTTAAATATCAAAAATCAACCAATTTTATAAGAGATTCTCATCAGGATGTGATTCTAATATACATGATTTCCAAACTTGAGTTAGTAGTTGAGTTGAGTCAAACCATCCAATCTGATTCTTTAATCACTTATATTTAACCTATATACTGAAAATCAACCCAGGCTGATCCAATACGCGCACATATAGATAAGAAATATAATCAACCTTGTTATTCAGAAACTAGAGATAGAGAAGAAAGAAGATATTACAAAGCATGCATGGAAGCGCAGAGAGAGAGAGAGAGAAGAAGAAGAAGAAGAATGATATATATATATATATATATATATATATAAAATATTAAGGGCACTTGGGCTTGTTGCCGTGAGTGAGCATATCAGTGTAACATCTGCCGCACATCTCTCTGTGGCCATAAGTGCCCGAGGAACACACTTGCATCTGGCACAACACGTCCCACACGCTCTCAGACATACCTTTGGCCTCGAATGCATCTTACATCTCTCTCCCGCACCGTACTCCACAATCTGCATCAATACCATTGTTCTTCATCATCATCAACCATATACCTATACATATATAGAAGGAGAAGAAGAAGAAGCCATACTTATATATGGAAGAAGCCTTCTGTTGGGTCCTTTCACCACCTGCACCATTCAAGGCCATTAATTAATAAGGAAACATGTATACACATATATAGACACAGACAGATCTATGGAGAGAGAGAGAGAGAGAGAGAGAGAGAGAGAGAAGCATCATCAAAACCAGAGAGTTATGATGAGAGGGTTGGTGGTGTTCTTCGTTATTGATCTTGACGACATCATCATCAGATGAAACCTGCAAATCGATTAAACCAGAAGAAGAAGTGAAGAATACTTCAAAGGTTGATTTAGCAGTAGTATTTGGCTAAGGGGATAATGGCATAATGCATTCTCTATTACCTCAACTGCAAAACAAAGAGCAATAGGAAAGTCATCAGAAGAACAAATCTTGAATAAGCCATCTCTCCTACTTCTACAACACTGTGTGCCACACTGCCACGGTTTTGTCTGTGTATATATAGCTGGTTGTCTTACTGTGCAATCTTATAGCTTTGAATTCATCCTTCAAAGATTTACATTTTTATTAAAATATAACAACTAGCATTTTAAACGGAAAGAAACTAATCAAAATATATAATTTCAAAATTATAGAGAAAAAATTGTTCAAACTATAATAGCAAATCATTATATTGTTAATTAAATTCTTATTACATATTACTCCCGGTTTTAATTATAAAATTTTATTTATAGACTATAAATAAGGTCTTATAATTAGAAGCAGTAGTGTTATGATTAGAGGTAGTATCAA